CAATGTGCCGTATTAGCCAATATAAAAGCTAACGGGATCTTAGCCTGTATTAATTAAAGTAGTGTCTACAACAGGTAAGGTGATAATCTTTCCCCTGAGGGAAAATATTGATTCATTATTGCCTCGGTATTCCCAGTATTTTATACATAGTAGGCATTTAACAAACTGTTGTTAAATTGAATTCACCTCTGCTCTAGTCAGGACATATATGAAATGTTGGGTCCAATTCTAGACATCTCATTTTAAGAAGGATATTGGTAAACTGGTGCAAGTCCAAAGGAGGGCCATTAGTATGGTTAGGAAGCTCAGAACTGCCAGGCATAGTTAAAGAAAACAGATAACGTTAGCTTGAAAAGAAGACTTGGTGGTTGAAGACAGCGAGAGGGTGGGGTGGGACAAGATAGCTGCCTACAAGTATTTGAAGGGCTATCATTTGGTACAGAGATTAGACCTGTTCTAGACTTTTCCCTAGAGGGAATAAATAGAAGGAATGGGCAAAAGTTGCAGGTTGTAAGATTTAGAATCTGTCTAAGAAAAAACTTCTTAGCCCTCTGAGGAGAATATGCTGTCTTAGGAAGTCATCACTAGATGACTTTGAGCAGATGACCACTTGTTGGGAAGACTGAAAAGGGGTTTCCCATTCAGGTACAATGGACTTGATGCTTTCTAAGATTTATTCCAGCTCTGTTATTTTGAGTGCCCATTTCTCATCCCAGTTTAGTATTCCTAAGCTCTCCTGGACAAGAGCCCTTCCTGCCTCACCTCTTCATGCTCATGAATCCCACCTCTGATCCTTGATCCTAATGGTTGGGCACCTGCTACCCTCTTCTCCATCTCCCAGATAATGATGGTCTGTCCTCATACTATTCTACTATTGTCTCCTATTCTGGCTTCTCTCCAACACCTGCTTTGCCTCTAGTTATCTGCCCCATTGTGGTTTCCATACCATCTCTGGTCTGGCCAATGTACCATCAACAAATCCCTAGTTATAACAGCAACTGAAAATATTTTAAAACATTGTTGCTAGCACTTAATTTGTATATATGTATATATATACATATATATATACATATATAATTTATATAATTATTAATGATATTTCACCTTCCCATAAATTATAGCTCCAACTACACTGAGGAAAAAGATTTCCTATAATTACCCATCAAGTGAAGTTAGCACAATTTAAGTGAATAGGTGGAATTAGTGAATGTAAGACCTTCTTTATGTGATTTTAGAAGCTTCTTGTCTTGAAGACATTTAATGAATATAATCAAGGAACCTCACTCTTCAGTCCTGTCAGTCAGTCAATAATACTAAGTGCTGGGAATATAAAGAAAGGTAAAAGAGGGTCTCTGCCCTCAAGGAGCTCACAATCTAAAGGGGGAGCCAACATGCAAACAGCCATGTACAAAGAAGATATCACAAGGATAAATCGGGAGAAATCAACAGAGAGAAGGCACTACCATTAAGGGGACTCAGAAAAGGCTCCCTGTAGAAAATGAAGTTCTAGTTGGGACTTTAAGGAAGAAGAAAACCAGGAGGTAGATGAGGAGGAAGAATATTCCAGGCATGGGGAATGGCCAGTGAAAATGCTCAGAGTCTGGATATGACCTGTCTGTTGTAAGAACCAGCAAGGAGCTCTGGAGCTCATTCCCCTCATGTGCTTTGTGGGTTGGCAGCCAGTGCCCCAACCTCTCTGTGCTCAGCATGATTGTATGTTACAGACATAATCCATCCAATTAGTTCAAAAGGAAAGGATTGTTGTGTGCATGGTCCTCTGTCCTAGGCAATGGGAGGGTCTCAACATTCATGAATTTGCCCCTGCTCTGACAATCTCAAGAAACAGCAGCTAAAGTAGCTACATTTAAATATCCAATAAATAGGATATCTATACCATGCAATGTCTCCTTGGGACCATCAACAACAGGAAACAGAAGTAAAAGAAAAAAAAACAATGGTAACAATTGAAGATGAGCATGTTTTAATTGAATTTGACCAAGTCTGATAGAATATGGCCAAGTCCAATGGCTACGGGTATTCTAAAGTTCTAGATTCATTTATAAACTGAGTACAAAGAGGCCACCCCTTTGAGGCAGTCATCGTCAGAGAGCAGGGGTTTTGTTTGTCATGGACCCCTTCAGCAGTCACTATGATGAAACCTATGCATCCCTTCTCAGAATCATATTTTTAAAATGCATAAAATGAAATACATGGGATTGCAAAGAAAATAAACCATGTTGAAATTCAGTCATCAATTTTTTAAAATTCATGAACCCCAAGTTAAGAAACCCTATTTTAGAGTCTAATAAATGACAGTATCTAATCGAATGAAGGGCAGCTAGGTGGTGCAGTCGATATAGTGTTGACCTGGATTCAGAAAGACCTGAGTTCAAATCCAGCTGCAGACACATACTAGCTTGTGACTCTGGGCAAATCACTTCACTCTGTTTGCCTCAGTTTCCTCATCTGTAAAATGAGCTGGAGAAGGAAATGGCAAACCACTCCAGGGTCTTTGCCAAGAAAACCTCAATGAGGTCACGAAGAGTCAGACACAACTGAAATGACTGAACAACCAAAAGTAGAATGTAGACTCCTTCAATCCAACAAATGCTTTTAAGGTATCTATTATGCGTAAAAGGCACTGGGGTACTAAGGTAAACATGAAATTGTTTCTGTCAAAGATCTTATACAGTATTCTACAGGGGGAGAGGGGTCGGAGGGGAGGAAAAATACAATGTGCTCACAGATAAGTAAATGCAAAGCATGTTCAACCTGACATAGTGCCCTGCACACAGTAGGTGCTTAATAAGTAATGAGTTTAATTATGTTTAATTAAATTGGGACAGCACAGCTGCAACTCATTGGGAGAAGAATGAACAGTAGGTTTCATATGGCCTAAAAACTCCCATGTGCCCACAGGAAAGTGAATATAGCAAACTGGATTCTGCAAAACTCTGAGCCTTGCTTGCTATCCAATTTTGGATGCTCTGCTCTTCTCACCATGTCTCTTTACTCCTTCTTCTTAAACCCTACTATGATTCCAGTGATGACTTTGACATCTGGCCTCTCAGCTTATAATATACAACATCCCTGGGAACCAACCTCTGGTTTTGCCCAACCAAATCCAAAAGAAACTAGAGCAGAGCCAAAGAATCTGAGTTCAAATCTCTGCTCTGCTGCTTACTTCCCATGTGATCTGGGGCAAGTCACTTGACTTCTCTGGGAGTCAGCTTCCTGAGCTGTAAAATGAAAATGGTTGAATTGGTCTTTAATGGATTTTGGAACTCTAGATCTATGATCCTATGCTCCTGGCCCCTTTCTGAGCGAAAGCCATCCAACTACAGGCTCTCCTTGCTTCCCCAAGTTAAGGAAGGCTCTTAGTTCTACCTCTTCTGGAAGAGTTCAGAATGATACATTGAGGCCAGTCTAAATAGATCTAGGCTATTTAGACTCTGTGAAGTTATTGGGTAGCTAGGTGGCACAGCTGGCCCACAGTCAGTACTGACTTGAGTTCAAATCTGACCTTAGACATGTATTAGCTGTGTGACCCTGGGTAAGTTACTTCACCCTGTTTGCCTCAGTTTCCTCATCTATAAAATGAGCTGGAGAGGGAAATGGCAAACCACTCCAGTATCTTTGCCAAGAAAACCACAAATGGACTCACGAAGAGTTGGACATGACTGAAAGGATTCAACAATCACCACAACACAGACTCATTGGATCATAGGCTCATAGATTTAGAATTAGATGTCCTCCCTTATTTTACAGATGAGGAAACTGAAGCTTAGAGAGATTAAGAGATTGTCCAATGTCACACAGAACAGAGTCAAGATTCAAATCTAATTCCTCTGATGTCCAGTGTTCTTCCCACTGTACCATACTGCCTCCCTCAAATATGTATCTCCCCTTTAAAAAAGAGTACTCAACTGAGCATACTACTAGTCATTAATTTCATTCAACAATAATTTATTAAGCACCTACTGCATGTCATGGGGATTTGAAATTTAAAATAACAACAACAACAATCCCTGCCCTCAAGGAGCTTACATTCTACTGTGCACATATGCAGATAAGTTCATTAAAAATATATGTGTACAAAGTAATGAGAAAGTAATTGGGGGGAGGAAGGTATTAGCAATTGGTGGCAACAAGAAAAGCCTCTTGTATTATGGAGTAATTGAACCCCGACTTGAAGGAAGCTAGGGATTCTAAGAGGTAGAAGGGAAGAGGGAGAGTCTTCTCAACATAGCAGGTGTGGGGGCAGCCTGTGCTAATTTCTGCATGCTTAGTGTATTTCAATATGCATATTACTGGAACTATTTCCCCACCTGTGACTTACGACATTTGAATATGTAGTAAAGATGTCTGTGGGGCTGATCAGAGAAGCTAAGGACAATGTAAAGGGTTTAATTAGAATTTTTAGCTATATCAGGAGGGAAAAAAAGATCAAAGGAACGATCAGGCTTTGCTTGTGGACTGATGGGACAATGACAATTAACAACAGAGAGAAGATACTCATTTCCTATTTCATTTCTGTTTTCTCTGCAAGAAAAAAAGATGACCTTTACACTGGAAATGATAGAACACAAATGACAAATAAAAAGCTGATATTCAAGTAAGAAGGATAGAAAGAGAGTACTAAGCTGTCCTTCATGAATTCAAGTGACCAGGCTCAATTGATATTCTTGGGACCAAAAAGAACCATCAGGTGTGATGGCTAAGCCACTTTAAGTAACATGTGAGGGATCATAGGAAATGGGAGAGGTATCACAAGATATGAGAAGGGCAAATGTTCTGATTTTCAGAGAGAGAAAGGAAGGGGAGGGTCTGAAAACTCTAGGCCAGTGAACTTGATTTGGATTCCTAGGAAAATTCTAGAATAGATCATTAAAGGATGGTTGGCAGCTACTTAGATAGGAAAGCAATGATTACAAAGAGCCAACATAACTTTTTCAAGATGATGCCTGACTAATGTTATTGCCTTTTTTTTTTTTGGACAGGATCACTAAACTGGAAGATGAGAGGAAAACTGTGAGTATAGTTTATCTATATTTTAGCAAAGTTTTTGATAAAGTATCACATAGGGGGCACCTAGGTGGGTGCAGTGGATAGAACACCAGCCCTGGATTCAGGAGGACCTGAGTTCAAATCCGGCCTCAGACACATAACACTTACTAGCTGTGTGACCCTGGGCGAGTTACTTAACACTTAACACTTTGCCCAAGAAAAAGTAAAATAAAGTATCACGTATATTTCTTATGGAGGACATAAAGTCACATAGATTAGACAATAATACAGTACAATGTATGCAAAACTAGCTGGATGGCTGGACTCAAAGAGTTGCTGTTAATGGTTCAATGTTAACACGGCAGGAAGTCTTCCAGGGACTATACAAGGGACCTGTCCTTGGTTCTGTGCTAGTTGACATTTTTTTCAATGACTTGGATAGAGGCATAGAAAATATGATCATCACATTTGCAGCTGATTAAAAAAAAAACAACTTTTAGAGACAGCTAACACAACAGATGACACGGTCTGGATCCAGAGGAATTTTGACAGGCTAGATTGTTGAATTGAATCTAATAATATAAAATTCCAGAGTGATAAACGTGAAGTCTTACGTTGGGTACAAAAAATAGATTTCATGAGTATGAGGTGGGGGAGACATTATGAAAAAAAAATCTGGAGGGTTTTATTGGACTGAAAATTAAATGAATCAGTAGTGTGATGTGGCAGCCAAAAAATGATTGGTTGAAGGAACTAATCACATTTTAGCTTAGAGGAAAAAAAGACTCACGTGGTACATGATAGCTATCTTCAAGTATGGGAAGGCTATCATGTGTTCTGTTTCTGACTTACTCTAGCTAGGTGACCTTGGCAAGTCACTTAATGTCTGAGTGCCCCAGGCAACTTTCTAAAATTGTAAATTGGAGGGTAAGTGCTCATCAACACCAGGAAATCTCTATACTAATGAAAAACAAATCAGGGCTCCCAATTATTTTTGTTGTTATTAGCTTTAGTTTAAAGAGAACTTAATTACAGCTATTGGGAATTGGTTGACAGCCCTGGTTTTCCTTAAAAAAAATTTTAAACTTGTGAAATTCATAACTACTTTTAAATTTCAAAGATATCTTTGCATACATGCTAAAGGATTTAAACCAGGTTAGTGATCTTAGTTTAAATAAGGGAGTTATTTTAAGACACTGGACTGGTTTGCTATTTCCAAATTAATTTTACAGATGAGAAAACTGAGGCAAACGGTTGAGTGATTTGCCCAGGGTCACACAGCTAGTAAGTATCTGAGGCCAGATTTGAACTCAGGTCTTCTTGACTCTAGGCCAGGCACTCTATCCACTGCACCACTTCGATGCCCCTAAAATTAGCTTGTTAATAGTTGATAAAGACCTGGACTTAAAGCCAGAAAGACCTGTACTTGGGATCCACCTCTTTGAAATACTGTCTGGATTTACCCCGGGATAAATCACTCAACTTCTCAATACTTTAGGCAACTCTGAAGACTATAAATGGTAAAGAAGATGCTAACCTGTATTGGCAGAGGGAGTTTCATCCCTTGGAAGTTCTGTATACCAATGAAATCACAAGTCCAGTCCCTATGTCTATTTGTATCTATGTATATAGATTGTAAATTTCTTAAGTGGAGGGACTTTCTTTTTCTTTTTTTTCTTTTTGGTCTTTGTACTCCCTAATACAGTACCTGGCACATACTAGTCATTTAATAAATGCTTGTTGATTGATCTCCCCAGCTCAGCTTTGCCTTTCTGAGACCTGTACATATGTAGGAATAAGTCAGCTCTTCTGCCATTTCTTCTGAGCTAATATTCTGTGACTTGCTCCTAGACACTGAAGTAAAAGCTTCTAGTTTGACGTGCATTCATATTTTTTTCAACCAACCTCATTTTCTCTGAATCAACTCAAAATTTCTCACAGACTTTGGCTTAACCCCAGTAAAAAGTGATGGGCAACTCTCTCAGGCATCCTTTTTCTGGTGGAGGTGATTAGAAAGTCTTATTTGGCAAGGGCCAAGATGAAATGGGGCTTTTCTTTCACCCCTTCTGTTAAATTCTAACTAGTCACCCTTCTCCCCATACTGGTAAAGCCTGGCTGTCTTCTCTGGCACAGTCTGGCCAGGTCTTGTTCCAGGGTGACTGAAGAGAAGGGGAGGAGGAGGAAGAGGGGAAGGGGGAGGAACTCCTCCAACTGGGATGTGGTTTTACTTTTATGGAAGACAGAGATTCAAAGAAAGTTAAATTTCAGCCAACCTGGAGATGGGGGGAGAATTAGTTGATTATTTACTGCTACACTTGAGCTTAGGAAGATTCCATGGCCTGAGTGTGGAGGAGGTATTTGTAGAACTTACAAAACACTTCTCTGCTTCTTTCTAAACATAATGGGCAGAAAATGAGCCAGTTTGGATCTGTGCACATGGTAGCCAATCCCCTGACCTCCTTCAGCTACCCAGGATGCATCACGATTTACAGTCAAAGCCAAGAAACCAGTAATGAAGCCAAGGTGGTCAGATGGGCAGAACCACTTCAGTTATTGAAAACCTGTTTTTCCATTTCCCAGGCACTGTACTACCATTAAAAAAAATTAATCTTCTGTATTATAAAATGAAGTAGGTAATATAAAGGTTAATGAGGATTAAACAGAGAGAATTAAGAGAAACCTTTCCAAATGAAATCATAAAACTCAAATGCAGCCTCTGTTCAGAGTCCTTTGATTAAAAAGATATGAAGTAGACATGCAAGGAATGATGGTACCTTCCATCCAAGCCAACCTTTTTGTAACACAGTCCATAAGATTTAGAGCTAGAAAGGACCTTAATGTTTATATAGGCTGATCTCTGGGATGAGGAAATTGACCGTGAAATCATTGATCTAAAGCTGGAGTTCTTAGCTCCCCTAAGGAGTCCATGGATGTCAGGGGTTTTGTGAACTTAGATAAGGGGAAAACCCACTAACCTCTAACTGAAAGTTAGCCTTTCCTTCAATTATGATTTTTTAAAAATACACTTCACCAAATTGCCATAAGGGTCCATGACATAAAATAGAAAAGGTCAAGAATCCCTGGTCTAGATATTGAAGGAACCTACAAACCTAGAGTGAAGTGGCTTGCCTAAGGTCACACAATGGAATAAATATGAAGAAACAAGATTTAAACCCATGTTCTTTCCACTCTACTCTGCCGCCTCTGGAGACAGGATCTATTTTACAGTGTTATATTATAATAATAGTTATTAATTTATTTTTATATAAATTAAGTGCCCCAAATGTCTTAGATAGTGTTGTGGAATACTACTTCTGGAGTCAGAAAATCTGAGTTCAAATCCTGGCCCTGAGACTTAATACCTATGTGATATTGACCTTTCTGGACCTCAGTTTCTTAATGAAAAGGTTGACCTAAGTGGGTTGGAACTCAAAGGACTTTTCCAGCCCTATATCTAGGATCCTAAGTAGTCATAGCCTTTGCCTGAAAACCACCAATAAAGTGGAACCCCACTACCTCCCAAAGTGGCCAGTTCTACTCTGGGAGAATTACTAGGAAATTTTTCCTAACACCATGCTAAAATTTGCCTCTCCCCATTACTCTACTGCAACTAGCTAGTGCTGTGAATAATCGCTTAACAGGAGGTAGAAAGACTTGAGTTCAAACTCAGCCTCAGCCTCTACTTACTAGCTATGTGACCCTGGGCAAGTCACTTAACCTCTATCTAACTCAGTTTCTTCATCTGTAAAGTGTGAATAACAATAGCACATATCTCCCAGGGTTGTTGTGAGGATAAAATGAGATAATATTTATAAAGTGCTTTACAGCTCATAAAGCATTACATAAATTCTCAATTATGTTAATATTATTACTTCTAATTCTACCTTCTGAAACCAACCAGCATAGCAGAATATGGAACCACAATAGAAAAATCATAATATTTGGGTTGAGAAGACATGGGTTCAAACCCACTTCTCTTTTCTTGTGACCCTGGGCAAGTCACTTCATTTCTCTGGGCCTCTGTTTACTCATTTATAAAATGAAAGGGTTGGTTGGATTGATTTTTAAAAATTCCTTCTTACTCTAAATTTATGATCCTAAAAATATGTATTGAGATACCACTTTCAGAAACCTAGGAAAGTGAGAAATAAATGGAGTGAAAAAACTGGGAGTCAGACAAGTGAGAGAAACAAGAGAGAAGCTGACCCAAAAGGCCAAAGGAAGAATAGAAAGGTTTTCTACTTTCTTGTCATGTCACTCACTCCCATCAGGGTGTATGAATCTGGTGATGGAGGTAGCCAGCACATGTAAGGTGAAAAATTCCAAACTATGGCATTCAAGGCCTCCAAGCCTCTACTTGACTCACTCAATCTTATTTCCTACACCTCCTCAAGGCAAACCCTCCAATCAAGTCATCCCAGGCTCTTCTGGGTTTCCCAACTGCACGTAATTTGGTCCTAGCCTTATGCCTTTAAGTTCATTCCCATCTGCTATATTTCCCTTGTCAAATTTCTGCTGCACTAGAGCTGAGGAGATAATTTATAGAATATTTTCCATTGTTCATGCTCATTTTTTCTTTCCCCATACTCTACATTATAGGAATGTGATTCCTCCTCATCCCTCACCTTTCCCTTCCACCAATCTTACCCTTTAATTATTTCAAATTCCACTACCAATGGGTCTGCAGGGATTGGGGTGTTGGGAGTATTTAGAATGGTAGAACCTGAAAGGACTTGGGGGCTTTTCAGCAGGGAGAACTAAATCATAAGTTCAAATCCAACCTCAGACACTTGACACTTACTTAGCTGTGGACCCTGGGCAAGTCACTTAACCCTGATTGCCTCACCAAAAAAAAAAAAAAGTAAATCATAAGGAAGAACATGGCTGCTTCACACACATCCCATAGCCTTCCACCCTTATACTAGCTAAGCTGAGCATCTCAGAATAAATGTAAATGCAGCACCCAAACAGCACTTGAATTTCAGGAGTATCTTGGTTACTTGGACAGTGGGCTGGATCTGGACTCAAAAGGATCTCAAACCCTGCCTTAATCACTTTGTTAGCTGCATGACCCTTGGCTTCATTTCCCTCATCTGCAAAAATGGTTTAACAATAACACTTATATGTAAGTAAAGCTAGCTAGCTAGCTAAAGAGACAGACAGACAGATAGATGGATAGATGGATTGATAGAAACAGATAGATTGATACAACAGACCGATAGGTAGATAGAGACAGACTGATAGATACAGGTAGATTGATAGCTAGAGACAGACAGATTGATAAAGACAGATACACAGACAGATAGATGATAGATAGATAGATAGATGAACAGATGGAAAAAGATTGATAGATAAAGATAGATTGATAGCTAGAGACAGATTGATACAGATACACAAGTAGGTAGATCAATCAATTGATTGGTAGATTTTTTTTTTAGTTTTGTTGTTGTTCAGTTGTTCAGCCAGGCCAAACTCTTCGTGACCCCATGGACCATAGCACACCAGGCATCTCCATCCTCCACTATCTCTCAAAGTCTATCCAAGTTCACGTTCGTTGCTTCCATGATACTATCTATCTATCTTATCCTCTGCTATCCCCTTTTTCTTTTGCCTGCAATCTTTCCCAGCATCAGGGTCTTTTCCAACGAGTTCCATCTTCTCATTATGTGGCCAATAGATAGAGCATTTATTAAGTGTTTGCGATCTCAGTCTTTGGCATCCAAATACAAGCAGGCAGGACAGCATCTACCCTCATTGAGCTTACATTTTAATGGGGGAAGACAATGCCCAGTGGTTACATTTGGTTACATCTCTGCCAAGATATTTTCTACATTAAGGTAAAAAAAATTTTTTTAACCAGTCCTTAATATCAGTGTTTGTTGAATCCATCATCCTTCCTGGATGATAATTTGATAATGATATCCACATAAGTGTTAACAACAGTGAACTTGGTAATGTGGGCACCATGAGATCTCCCCAGTCCTAATTCAGGGCTTCTCACCCAGCTGCCACTGTTTATACCACTAGAGATCAGCCACTTGATATGCAATCAAGCTCCTCTGAAGCTGCCCTGGCTGGAAAGATGATCCCTTGTGATGTGAAGGCTTTGGCTAGAGCAGTAGTTCTTAACCTCACTCGTCATGGACCCCTCTGGCAGTCTGCTGAGGCTGAGTGACCCCTTCTTAGAGTCATGCTTTAAAATGCATAAGATAAAACACACGGGATTACATTCAATTATATGCAAACACATTTATCAGAATATTAAAAATAAAAAGTCCACCAACTCCCATCAAGAACCTGTGAACTAGTTGGACTCTGAGGCCTTTTGTAACTCTAGATTTATGATCCCTGTGTGGAAAACGCTGCTCCAATAGTATCTGCTATAAAATAACTCTGCCCAAGAATTCTCTGTGAAGTTTGCATTCTGACAATAATAGTTACGCCTTAAGACGTGCAAAGTGCTTTACATAGATTATTCCATCTTATTCTTACAACAATCCTGGAAGTTAGGTGCTATTATTATCCCATTTTACAGATGAGGAAACCAAGGCAGTGACTTCCCCGGGGTCACACAGTGAGTGTCTGAGGGCAAATTTGAACTCAGGTCTTCCCAATCAGCATTCCGTCAACTCCACCTGCTGGTTTTCCCATCTTCCTTTAAGTCCCAACTAAAATGTCATCTTCTACAGGAAGATATTCTCAACCTCTCTAACTTCTAATGGCTTCTCTTTTTTAATTACTTCCTATTTATCCTTTAGGTGGTGTCTGGAGTCAAAAGGACCTGAGTTCAAATCTTGTCTCAGACATTTACTGGCTCTGTGACCTCAGGCAAGTCATTTAACCCTATTTGCCTGAGTTTCCTCATCTCAACAGCAGAAGAAAACAGCAAACCACAACAGTCTCTTTGCCAAGAAAACCCCGGATGGGGTCCAAAGAGTCAGACACAACTGAACAATAATATTTATCCTGTAAATAGAAGGTTTGTACATATTTCTTTGTTTGCTGTCTCCCCCATTAGACTATAAGCTCCTTGAGGACAGGTACTATCTTTTGCCTTTTTTTTTTTTTTTGTATCTTCAGTGCTTAGCACACAGCCTGGCACAAAGTAGGTGCTTAATATATGTTTCTTGACTGACTGACACCTAACTGCCTAGAGGTATTTGTTTCTTAATGATACCCCAGGCCTTAGTGAAAATCCTAATTCTATTTTCCCGAGTCATTTTTGATTTGAGGACTGCTCAATCATTGCAGTTTCCCTTGTGAACGAACCCCTCTCAATAGCCAGTCTCAAAAATTCAGCCCATGCTGCAGTTGAAAGCATGAACTATTTTGCTGATTTTGCCTCTATCCCTCAGTTATTCTACTTACAAGAACAGAATGCAACAGAGCAGAGTGGGAACATGAGATGGAAATAGTGTGCCTCTCTTGACCCAAAAGAAGGTTACCAGGAAAAATAAACACGCGAAAAGTACATTTTATCAGAGTGATTGCTACCCAAGGCTGATGTGGGCATAAGGGGCCTCCCTCAGTCTCTCCGGCTAATAGCTACAGTAAGGTCTGTAATATCATCATGGGCTGTTCTCCTGTCAACACAGTCAAACACTTATATAAAAGTCAAATCTAGCTGGAAAGAACGGTCATGCTTTCTCTGTGTTTGTTGGCAGAGGTTTCAAGTGTCTGATAAAACTGGGGAGTTCGGTTGTAGGGCTTGACCAATGTCCCTTTGTAGCTGATGAGAGCTAATGGGGTACTTGCATAGTGACAGGAAGTTGGAAAAGGCTGCTTGTGCAAAGCGTGTGGAAATAGACCATTCTAATTCTGGTGGTCTTTGAGGGGGAAAAAATTGGGTGGACTCTAAAGATCTTCTCTTTATCTGCTCTTTGCCCTAAAGGTTGAGAGTCCTGTCAGATTGTCAACCAGAGAAGAAAACTGAATTGGGCTGCTGTCTTCAGGCTTCAAGGGGGCAAAAGTCTTTGGAAGCAGCCTGGCCACCCAGCCCTCTTCACTTAAGAGAGTGAAGGGGCTTGGTTCCAGAGAAGATCCGGCAAGGAATGAGAATGATAAGGACCAGGGATAAACAAAGATCAGGGCTGCCCAGTGTCAGAGATAGGAATGAAAAGGATTTTCTCTGAGGCAGGCAGCCTTTTTCTTTTACTATGAAATCATGTGCCTCTGATGCTGACCACCTGTGTAACCCTGGGTAATTCACTTAATAAAAATAATTGTAATGGTTGACATTTATATAAAGGAGATAGGGAACTTTGCTGGAGCAGAAGGAATGTAGGGTAAAAGTCACTAGCTGGCAAATGTACCTTGGTCTTGATGGCAGAAATGCAGGGCAAAGGTCACAGATTTGACACTTCTAAAGACCTCCTTGAGGCTTTTCAAAGTGTCTAGGTAATTTTCATGGATCTGATGCTAGCTGCCAGAGGTGTGATGGGAGCTAAAAGGAATTCACTTACCTTAACCTAATTGAGTAAGAGGGCTAAAAGAGGAGGAGGAGGGAAGGAGGAAAAAGGAGGGGAAGAAGGGGAAGGGAGGGAAAGGGACATTAGGAGGGAGAGAGGGAGGAGAAGGGTGATCAAGATAGAGGAAAGGGAAGGAGGGGAACGGAAGGGAAATTAAGATGGAAGGAGGGGAGAGAGAGAAAGGCAGGTGGAAGGTAGATTAAGATGGGGGGATAAGAAAGGGAATGAGGGGAGGGGAAGGGCAAGAGGGAGGAGGAGGAGGAATAAATGAGTGAAGTGGGGTTTTTTTTCAATTATATTATTTCCTGACAAACACATGATAGACTTAGGGTCTCGGAGTACAGACTGAGACATAAATTTTTGGGACATGGCAATGTGGAAATTTGGTCTTTCTTTTTCAATGGAGAGAGGTAAGAGAGAGAGAAAATAGATTTTTGTGAATTAGAAAAATAAAATTTAATTAGATTTTTAAAAAATTTGCAGAGTTACTTAAGAGATCCCTTTGTGGGCTACTCAGCAATAGCTAAAAGCCAGATTTACTAAACAGCTGAGAAAGTGTTGACTAACCCGAGGTATGCTGGCCCTGAGTAGTCTCACACAATAAAAGGAATAACACTCCCTTCAAGGCCAAATAACTTATAGAAAATAACAAGTCCAGAAAATGGCATAAGTAGTTCATTGAGGAAGAGGAAGTCAGAGCAGGTGGCAGCTCTAGCTGATAGAAGCCACAAACATACCTCCGCAAAAGAAACCAAAATGGCATCAGAGAGGTGGTCGGATACAATGGAACGAGTGAGCGTTGGATTTAGAGTCAGGAGGACTGGGTCCCAACCTTGTTCTGTGGCTTACTACTTGTGTGATCTTAGGCAAGCCATTTCCTTGGGCTTCTGTTTCCTCATCTGCAAAATGAGGGGCTGAATAGATGACCTCTAAGGACCCTCTAGCTCTAGATCTATGGCCCTATGAAAGCTCCAGCAGATGGCAGTAACAGGTTGGAAGAGATACAGTGAAAGGAAGCTCCAGAGGCAGAGAGAAAGGGCAACAGTGAAGGCTAGCTAACTAACAAGAAATAGAACTTGGAGAGATGTTTCCAGTATGTTCCCATGAGGATGAGAAATCATATCCCTTTGTGTAGAGGAGAAGAAGAATGACCAGACATTTTGATTTCTTTTGTTATTTACTTTATCATTAGGATTCTATTCCAATTTAATGTTTGCTATTTGATTTATGACTTCTGTCTGGTCTGTTGGTTGATAATGTGCTAGACGGGGGCTCAAGCTATATTTATATAACTATGATTATTTCAAATTTCCCACACTAATCCTGGGGAAAGGAGAAAGACAGGATAAATGAGAGCCATTCACTGAAGTGATCAGAAGGAGGTCTCTCTGTGTGAATTTGAGTTTGAAAACTACTTCATCAGTTTCTCCTACTCATTTCTATTTGGTGGCAAATACCTCATCAAATGAGTGTTCATATGGTAACCCAGCTTCCACACTAGAGAAGGGAAAAGGAGAAAGCTCACACATGAGACTTATATATCTAAAAGATATTACAGCACGTTCTTTGCCACTGGCTGAAGCCAGGCGAGGAAGGGTGTTATCATCCTCCAAATCTGTGATCAGAATAGGGTGATGATATGGCAGCTCTTTCCAAAATGGCTTCCCAGTTTTCCCTCTGTATAGAAAAGGTGCATTCTCTGGCATATATTAGAGATGCTCCCTCCTTTTCAAGGACAATGATAAGTAGGGAACAGTATGTTATCTGTTCCCTGCACTTCAATGGCTACCCTTGAAGATCTTTGGCTGAGGGGCATGCAAGTATGAGTGGAATGTTTTCCTCATTTACTCAAGGTTGGTTAATAAAGGAGATATGTAGTCTTTTATCTATGATGCCAGGTGCTTTGGGGCTGTTTAGCTGCAAATGAGCAGTTATCTATAAAGTTTTAATTGAGGAAACGGGGAAATATTCTCAGCTGGTTTCAGGGGTGAGAACAAAAGGAAAATGAGAAGCCATTAAAACTGCCTAGATTTACAAGTCAGTAACCAATTTTAAGTTGCTTTCCCAGTGCCAGGAGGAGGGCTTTGGGTTGGCCTTTCAGGTAAGGATCAAAAACCTTATGGAGTCATTTGAGGTTTTTACCCCCAATGAGATTCTACATAAGAATGCTAACTCATATTCTAAAGGGAAAGAGATATAAAATTCCAAAATACAAAGATCCTAACAGGGGGAAGGGGAAGTATTAATTATGAAGATACATATAAAACTGTCTCTGAAGGTATATTTTTCTCCAAAGAATACCACTTCATTTACATTCCCCAGAAAGGTAGTACTTTGAAGTTAGAAAATTCTAATATCCTTTCAGACATCCTAAGAAAGCCCATACAAGTCACCTCCTAGACACTAAGAAATGAATTAGGGCAGTCACAGTGTACCAAACCCTACAATAGGGGAGTTCCAGAGCCACAGACACCCTGTGTCATAGAGTTCTTTGAGACCTTGAGACTTACACAGCACATTACACACATTATCTCATTTGATTCTCATAATTACCTTGTTATTATGACCATTTTACAGGTGTAGAAACTAGGGCTCTGAGGGATTTAGCAGTGGTATGCTGGTGAATATTTAACAACCACCTCTCTCCTACATAATGTGCTTTCAATAACATACTTTTAAGTTGAAATCTTCATCATTAACATTTCTCAATAACTTTCTTGAGCTGGACAATCAACAAATCAATAAATGAAGCCCTGATCTGCAGCATCTGTCACTCTCTGAGATGCAAATGCCCACTGAAAATTTAACAACTGGCTCACTGAAAATTTAACAATAGGTTCTCTGAGATAGTGAGAGCTGCACATCCCTGGATTCAAGTGTCTTGCCCACAGTCACAAAACAAGTAGGCATAAAGGGTGGAATTAAAACCTAGGTCTTTATGATTCCAAATTCATACCTCTTTCCAACTGTTACGAGCCATGGCTTCCTTAGCTATAAAACGAGGCATTTATATTAAATGGCTTTCAAAGTCTCTCCCAGTTCTATGTTCTGTGAAGCTGTGGGCAAACCAAGTGTCCCTAAAATCTTAGTGCACATGAAGACTTTGGGGGCATTTTCTCTATATTCATATAGACAGGGACTGGCTCCATTAGACTGGACCCATTAGACTAGACAGTGGGCTCTTTGAGAGCAGTGACCAGTTTTGTGCCCTCTTTTGCATCCCCAGAGCTCAGTACAGTGCCTGGCATCTTTGTTGTTGTTCTATTTTTCAGCTGTGTCCAATGCTTTGTGAACCCATTTGGAGTTTTCTTGGCACCAGTACTGGAGGGTTTTGCCATTTCCTTCTCCAGCTCATTTCACAGATGAGGAAACTGAAATAAACAGGGTGAAGTGACTTGCCCAGGATCACACAGCTAATAAGTGCCTGAGCCCAGATTTGAACTCAGGAAGAGGAGTCTGCCTGACTCCATGGCTTGCGCTCAGTGCACTATGGCACCACCTAGCTGTCTCAGGGCTGGTTGTAGGCAACATTAGGTTCACATGTATATTGCACTTTAAGGTTCCTTCCAGCCAATGCCCCTCTCCCAACCATACTACATACTCTTAGGGGAAAGAGTGGTGGATTTGGAATTAGAGAAGCAGGATTCAATTTTCAGCATTTCCTATGCAACCTTGGGCAAATCAGAAACCTCTCTGGGCCTCAGTTTCTCCACTTATATAAGTAAGTGATGGACTAGATTCATAGTTCTCACCCTGAGGCATGCGCATTTATGATGGGTATGAGAACTCCTGGACCAGATGGTCCCTGAGCTCCCTCTTAATTTTAGATCTATGAGGCAATGATATTTCTCCTTTCTCTTTATCCAAGCAGAAGGCTGTCCTTAATCAGATTTCAGCTGCTGGGAAGTTGAGGAGGGTGGTGGTAAGGATAAATGATTGTGAAATTGATCCATTAATCCATTAATAAGAATTTGTTACGCCCTTACTATGAACAAAGGGCAGCTAGGTGGTGCATTGGATAGAGCACCAGGCCTGGACATGAGTTCAACTCCAGCCTCAGACACTTACTCACTGTGTGACCCTGGGTAAGTCACTTCACCCCGTTTGCCTCAGTTTCCTCATCTGTAAAATGAGCTGGAGAAGGAAATGGCAAACCACTTGGGTATCTCTACCAAGAAAACCCCAAATGGGGTCATGAAGAGCAGGATATGACTGAAAGAACTCAACAACAAAACTATGAACAAACCATTATTCTTGGTGCTATGGGAGACACAAGGAAGTATCGGATATGGTCACTGCCTTCTAAGACCTCATCAAGTAAGTTAGAAAGAAAAGGTATAAATAACAATAATTATGATAATAATAATAGCTAGAATGTATATGGAGCATTACATTTTGCATAGTGCTTTATGTAGGTTATTTCATTTCATCCTCACAACAACCCTGTAAAGTCAGTGCTATTATTATCCTCATTTTACAAGGGAGGAATCTAGACTGGTCAAATGACTTGCCCAGGGTCACACAGCTAGTGTCTAAGGCTGAGGATATGAACTCAAGTCTTCCTGGCTCAAGTTAGGCACTCTCTACTGTGCCACCTATAAACCTATAAAGCCACTGATATCAGAGATGTTGCAAAGTAGTATGTCATTAACTGCCATAGTATGCTGTGTCATTAATCCTTTGGAATTGTCTTGGATCATTGTATTGCTGAGAAGAGCTAAGTCATTCATAATTCTTCATCAAACAATATTGCTGTTAACTGTGTAC